AAAATATTTGATTTACAAATAAGGAATCCTACTTCGCGGAATTTCATTTATCACGGTAGGGTCTAGAACCGATTAACCGCGATAAACAAGGGTTCACTGTACATCATTTGTAGACCAAATGGCTCTACACAGTTGTAGAAATAGGTAAGTCTGGTCCATTCAAGTCAGGCTTCCCCTGACTCATATGGCTGTTGAAGTTGACAAACAGGAAGAAAAATGACAAAATAGGGAAGGGGCAATGGGAGGGATATAGGCTGGTAGATGCAGAAGCAAATGAATCTGAAGATGAATCTACTGTTGGAGTTCCCTGACGGTTCCTGGGAAGAAGACCTACAAACCAGATGAAGGATCCATCTTCAGCGAGGGTAAAGGGCCAACAAGAACTTGGCTTCTCTCTCTCTCTCTCTCTCTCTCTCTCTCTGTCTCTCATGAAAGGTCACACCCCCAAGGAGGTGTCATCAGGCTACAGCCTGATTGATAGGTTGGGATGCAACCCTATTCTCACCCAGGAATATCTAGTGGACATAAACTTTAAACATCATACTTCATATGCATGTGAAAGCTGTAAAATGAATAAGGAAGTCTGACAAGGAATTCATACATTTGAATTATGGTATCTGTGAAAAATATTCAAGGTACCATGCTCTGCTAGAAGAACAAACAAGACCCTATCACTACCTGGAGTATTGCTTTTTGCTAATGCCTTCAAGAGCTTGGACTTCCTAATTCGATATCAATAGTTCTTGCTCATTTGTTCCTCTTGAAATAGCTGAATGTCAATCAATTATTTTTGGTACAGTGACTGTGTATGTTCCTCCCATAGTATTTTAATACTTCTTGAATTATTCTATCATTTGCCCAATCTTACAACTCAAGGTTTCTAATTTTTTCTTCAGTTGTTTCTGTTTGAAATATGCTGAATATGTTCTTCCCTTTTGGTTTTCACACATTTCTTTGTAATGCTTTCCTTTGTCCTCTTAAGCTGACCGTTGACATTTTATTTTCTATTCAGCTCTTTTCACTTCACCATTTCCTCCATTTGTTTTTGCTACCCTATGGGCAAGAGCAAGTTTCAGAATATCGTCTGATAACCACTTTGGTGTATTCTTTCTTATCTTTTAAATGACCTGCTTTCTTCGTGTATTTTTTTTTGAAGGACTAGTCTTATTACGCACAAAAACCAGCCATGCGCGAGCTAGCCCAGCTTGGTGGCGAGTTCTTTGGCCTTGGCCTTTTCTAGCTTGGCGATTCGGGCCACCGACTTGGGGCCCAGCACATGGCCACCCCAGTGGCGGCGGATCTCGTCAAACCTATCATTATAGTTGGTCCTGATGGCTTCCACCAGCTTAGCCAAGGCTCCTTTGTCTTCCGAGTTCACCTGTGTGAAGGCGACGGTGGTGCAGGTCTTCCTGTGCACCAGGCACCCCAGCCGGGCCTTGCTCTTGATGATGCAGTAGGGGACCCCCATTTTCCGGCACAGGGCTGGCAGGAAGACCACAAGCTCAATGGGGTCCACGGTCATGTGCGATCACCACCAGCTGAGCCTTCTTGTTCTCCACCAGAGTGGTGATGGTGTTGATCCCCGCGCGGAGGACAGGCGGCCTCTTGGTGGGGACGTCCCCTTTGCCGGCAGCCTTCTTCTCGGCCCGCGCCAGCAGCCTCTGCTTCTTCTCCTGCTTCGTCTCGGGCCGGTACTTGTGGGCCAGCTTCAGCAGCTGGGGGGCTGTCTGCCGGTCCAGGGCCTGGGTGAACTGGTTGATGGCAGGCGGCACCTTCAGCTGCTTGTACAGGATGGCGCGCTGGCGCGGCAGCCGGATGTAGTGCGGCCACCGGACGAAGCGGGTGAGGTCCCTCTTGGGCTGGATGTCCTGGCCGATGCCGAAGTTCTTGGGCCGCTTCTGGAACAGGGGGTTCACCACCTTCTTGGCCTCCTGCTTCTTCACGACGGCTGGCGCCGGGGCCACCTTCTTGCCCTTGGCCTTCTTCCCTTTTGGCATCTTGGCTGGATGGACGAAAGAGAAAAAAAAAGCCGTGTATTTTTTTTTAAACTGTCGTGGAGTTGTTTGTTTATTGAGAGGGCTCGGGAGCACCAGGGAATGTCCATTTTAATCTTCCTGGGCTGGTTTTTGAATTTTTTCCTTTTTCTTAGTGCTGTTGCTCTTGCTGCTAGCAGCTGCCTCCTCGGGTCCACTGCTGGCGGGCTCCCCCTTCACGGGGAGTTTCTTTTTCTTTGGGATGTTCCCGCCACTTGCTGCCTCTTGATCACATGCAGGCTCCTCTTTGGGGAGAAATTTCAGTTTCTTCCTCTTGGGGGGAGGGGTCCCTTCTGGGTCACTGCTGATCGTCTCCTCCTTAGAGCTCTTATTCTTGGGTTTGGGGATAGCAGAGACAGGAGGCGGCTTCAAATCAATTTTCCTGTGGAGCCTCCTGGGCCCTCTGCTTGTTCTTCTTCGGGGCCTTTCCCGTGGGTCTCCTGCCCGCCGACCTTACACTCCTCAGGAGCACGGCTGCTTTCCTGAGACGCAAGCCAAGGGCAGCCAGTGCTTCTTTGTCTTTTCAAGCATTGCTTCTCCCGCTTCTCCAGCTTCCTAGTCATCTCCACAGCAGCCTCTGCCTGAACCACTGCCTCCTCCATCACCACATCCAGAGTGTCCCGAGGCACCTACCCCCCCAGTCTCGGAGAAGGAGAGTCACTCCTCGACTTGCTCGCGAAGCTTTTCTCCAAATACGCTAGTGGGCACCTCAGAGAAACAATCGATCCGAGAGGCAATGCTGCATTTGTTCGCCACGTATCGGGAGATGCGGCCTTTGTTCTTGGCAGCTGCTCGGCCCATGAAGTGGAAAATGAGTCTGGATTTAGGGGTGTTTCCCCTGCTCTTCAGGGCTCTGGAAGCTTGGTCCCTTTTTGCTGGGACCTGGGAATCACTCAGACACCAGGGTTGGCCCGTGTACAATATTCTTCTTCTTTTTTCCTTTCTCCCGAGGAGCAGTTGGTAGTTTTGAACTGCTGAGCTTGCTGTTAGCAATACAACGCTAACCCATACTATACCAGAAGCTGGTAAAAAATTCTTCAATTTCTTCATCACTGGCTTAAGTGGTTGATGAGTACATTTGAATAATTTTATTAATTAATTAGTTCCTTGAAAGTTATATTTTCCTTTCACAGACAGCATTGTACTTCAATGTAGATCTTGAAATACTTTTTTTTTGACAATGAATGTAGTAGCACCATTCCCTTTTAATTTCTTATTCCAGCATAGAAAGCCCTAAAATTCTCTAATTCAAAATGGCTAATACCAGTCCATTTTAGTTCAGTAATGCCTAGGATATAGATCTTTATGCACTAAATTTCACTTTTATGGTTTCTAATTTTCTTAAATTCATAATTCTTACATTCCCTGTTCCAATTATAAATGAGTATCTGTGGTTGTTTCGTCTCATTTTTAGTTCTGCCCCATGAGCAAATGAAGTTCCAAAAAGCTATACGCTAGCCACCTGATTAAGGTTGATACTACTTTGAGGAAGCAGCTCTTCTTCAATATTATTTTCAGGTCCTCCATCTCCAAAACTATTTCAGACAACATTCATGGCTGTGCATAAGTTTTCACTGGATAATCCATCAGAAGTAGACCACTTTTTCCTTCTTCCTAGTCACAAGTGACTTGCTGGTGTTTGAAATAATAGTGGCATAACACCCAACATAAAAGCCACAAGAAAGCCACCACAGTACAGCAAACTGAAAGATCAGTGACATATAAATAGGCATACACATGAAAAAAATGCTCTCTGGTAGATAACAGGGATGGAAGGAGGAGGGAGATGAAATTGTTTTTGAGATGGTAAGCACTTGTTACTTCTAGTGATGGGAAAGCTAATACCTAACATAGATGAAGTTCTGCACAACTAGTCAAAGGTAAATGAAGGCACTAAATAGTACATATCAATAAGAAACAATTTCAGTAAATGCTGTAGAATATAATTTTGCAACAATTATAATTAGCAAAAACATCACTTCATCGTTACTTGGGTGAAGTGCCCTTGTGGTGAGTGCTTACACATTAGAAAGTTACCTTTCATCCACATAATACATTGGTTTATTTAAAAAAAATCACCCATGAATACTGTTTCGTTAAATAATCAAGTGTATGAAACAAAAGATCAATGTTTACCCTGAAATAAAGATGAGGTCAGACTGGAAGAAAATTAAGGCTTCCTACTCCTGTAAAGAGTTTCAGTCTTGTGAAACCCACAGAGGCAGTACGTTCTACCCTGTCCAATATGGTCACTATGAGTCAGAATTGACTCAATGGCAATGAGTTGGGTGTTTTTTTTTTGTTTTAGGTTGCATAGGTAGACATGTGGGCATATATGTGTATAGCACAGTACATGTGAATATATATGGGTGTGAAGGCGCAGCTTTATCTATAGACATGTATTCATACATGTTAATATATGCTGCATAGTCATATATATAATAAACTACATAGCAGGCAGGGTTATGGATACTAACTGAGGCAAAAACAAACACCAAGTAGAACTGAATTATTGGGTTTGAAGGGTTGGGATCAAAAAGCCTTGTGGAACAATTCAGTCAATTGCCATAACAAAGTTCATAAAGATAATGGGAATAGTGATTCTGTGTATTCTTTACATCTTCTTTTGATGCTTCCAGTTTTGTTCAATATTTTGCCAACAGAATATTTTAATATCAACTCAAGGCTTGAATTTTTTTCTTTAGTTCTTTCAGTTTAAGATATACTGAGTGTGTTCCTTATTTTTGGTTTTCTAACTCTACATATTTCATTATAATATTTTACTTTGCCTTCTTGAGCTGTCCTTTCAAATTTTCCATTCAGCTCTTTAACTTCATCATTCTTCCATGTGCCTTAGCTACTCTTAAGATCAAGAGCAAGTTTCATAGTCTCTTTTTAATATCCACTTGGATATTTTCTTTCTTTCCTATTTTTTTAATGACCTTTTGCTTTCTTCATGGATGATGGTCTTGATATCAACACACAGTTCATCAGGTCTTCTGACAATAGTGTTTAGTGCATCAAATTGGTTCTTGAGATGTTCTGGAAACCCAGGTGAGATACACTCAAGGGAATATTTTGGGTTTGTGGACTTGTTTTAACTGTTTTGAGCTTTATCTTGAACTTATATATGAGCAATTGATCATCTGTTCCATAGTCAGCCCTTGGCCTACTTTTGGCTAATATTGAGCTTCTCCAGGATCTCTTCCCACACATGAAGTCAATTTGGGTTTTCTGTATTCCATCTGGAGAAGTTCACGTATATTCACTGTTTATATTGTAAAATATTATTTGTGAAGTTGCTGGTCTTGCAAAATTCTATCATTCAATCTCCAGCTTTGATCCTATCACCAAGGCCAGAGTTTCCAACGGCTGTTCCCTCCTCTGTATTTCTAACTTCTGCATTCCAATGACCAAGATACACTGAAGATGGAATGCATCTTGAGTGCATGTTTGGTCAATTTCAGACTGAAGACATTTGTAGAATTCTTCAATTTCTGCATTGCTAGCCTTAGTGATTGGTGCATCAATAAGAATGACAGCTGTATTGACTGGATTTCCTTGTATGTGTAGAGCTATTTTTCTATCATAGACTGCCTTGTACATCAAGGCAGATCCTGAAATGTCTTTTTTTAAATCATTTTACTGGGGGCTCTTACAGCTCTTATCACAGTCCATACATCCATTCATCATGTCAAGCACATTTGTACATATGTTGCCACCATCACTTTCAAAACATTTTCTTTCTACTTGAGCCCTTGGTACCAGTTCATTTTCCCCCTCTCCCATCCTACCTCCCTCCCTCATGAACCCCTGATAACTTATAAATTATTACTTTTTAAATCCCTTTTTAATGATTAATGTGATACCAGTCCTTTTGAGTCTGTCGTTCTTGGCATAGTAAACCATATGACTATCTGATTCAAAAAGGTTAATACCAATCCATTTTAGCTCACTAACACCTAGAATATTTATCTTTATATGGTCCATTTCATTTTTGATGACATAATTTTCTTATATTCATAGCCTGTATATTCCAAGTTCCAATTATTAATAGGTGTTTGCAGCAGTTTCTTCTCATTGTAAGCCTTGCCCTATCAGCAAATGAAAGTCCCAGAAGCTTTACTCCTGCAGGCATTACTCCATCCATGTCATTTTGGTGGACTCTACTTAGTGAAGGCAGCTCTTCCTCAGTTCATATTTTGAGTGCCATACAACTTGAGTGGCTCATCTTATGGCACTCGCTCTGACAATGTTCTCCTGTTAATTCTTAGTTTTTTGGTATGGGGCAATGTTTTACTGCTATCCATTAGGATTTCATTGGCTAATTCCTCTGAAGTAAATAGTCTATTCCTTTTCCATAGTCTGTTCATATTCTGGAAACTCTGCTGAAACCTGTTTACTTTGGGTGACTCAGCTGGTATTTTGAAATATCAGTGACCTAACTATTAGCATCATAGCAACATACAAGCCGCTACAGGATAACAAGCTGACAGACATGTTCTTAGCATTTCTTATAAACAAATGGATTATCTGTACATTATTGTACTAGGTCATCATACTTACTATGCCTCTAATAATCAACAATTTTTTTTTCATACGTGAATAAAAATAAACAGAAGATCATCTTTTTCACCTCTTCCTCTAAGTTTGAATAGATGAGATTAACATACATCAATATTATTTTAGTGTATCTAAATCTTCCACTATCATCATTTTACGTTCTAACTTAGAAAAAGCCCAGAAAAAAAAAGTATGAAAATGTGATTTCTTCCCCCACTAAAATGTACAGGTGAGTCACTAAAGACCATTAATCCCAAATTCAGAAAGAGTAGAGAAATCAGATGCCTTGACATATGCAATTCAATATATTTTTCATATATATATATGACCTTTCTGGCCTTGGGTTTACCATTCTGTCAAAATGATTGGTTAAGCCACAATCTTACAAAGGACTGGTTAGTTTA